GTGTGTGTGTGTGTGTGTGTGTGTGTGTGTGTGTGTGTGTTTCCAGGGTTTCCTGGTGCAGCAGTACGGCTCTGGTGGGATGTCGGGGTACCCCACCCAGCCTCTTCAGTACCCCTCTGGTCCTCAGCAGCGATGTGCCCCCTCACCCTCCTACCCCTCCAGTCGGATGCCTCTCATGGGGCAGTACAGCTCTGGATCACAGAACCCGGGGCAGTTCCCCCCCGGAGCCGGACAGCCCAACCCTCCTCAGTACTACAAGGTGATCCTCCTCTTCAACAATATTTGCTATTAAACTATACTTTCCTGTACTTTTATACATGTGTACATACTATATATAAACTATTTCCCTCATTATTGACAGCAGTGAACAGTATTGAGAGCCTCCAGGCTCACAGATCTAATGTTTTTACAACGTTGCTGGACTCTTTGGGGTCCAGATATTTGGATTCTCATGTTTCCTGTCCATGTTCTCCAGTCGGAGCCGTTTAACGGTCAGGGCAGCCTTCCGTCTGGAGGAGCAGGAGGATACAACGCCTTCACACAGGCTGCAGTCAATGGGGTAAGTCCTCTTATTAACCCTCTGAACCCCGTTTTACTACTGTCACATCTCTCTGTGGCACTTTGATCTATATATCCAACAGGTTTGGACTGGAGGCTCTATGTGTTTATAAATATTTAACTATTTACATTTTTACATCCTCTACTTCCAGCCTGTTCTCTCCTCTCTCCTCCTTTCTCTCCTCTCCTCTCTCCTCTCTCCTCTCTCCTCTCCTCTCATCTCTCCTCTCCTCTCATCTCTCCTCTCCTCCCTCTCCCCTCTCCTCTCTCCTCCTCTCTCCTCTCTCCTCTCCTCTCCTCTCTCTCCTCTCTCTCCTCTCCCCTCTCTCCTCTCCTCTCCTCTCTCCTCTCCTCCCTCTCCCCTCTCCTCTCCTCCTCTCTCTCTCCTTGTTGTCACATGACTGTTGGTCTCAGATGAATCAATCATGACGTCATAGTTTCACAGTTTAATGTTTTTACACATTCTGGTTAAAGTGAACGCTTTATTAGAGGAGACATTTATAATGAGAACATGAAGAATAAAATGTTCTTGATTAAATATCAATATTTTAAGCTTCGTTTTGACTGCTTTTACGGATGGAAGCGTTTGTCACACATGATGTGTTCGAGGACTGTCTGAAAGATGAAAATCTGACGGTGATGTTGGTGTTTACAGCTTCTGGCTGATAAACGGTGTAGTTTTGGCGATTGTTTGAAGAAAACATGCTTTTCAACCCCGTCGGTGTGTTTTGGGGTTCAGAAGTTTCTTCTGATGAGGCGCTTTGAGGTTCTAAACGCTCCGTCCTCTTCCTCGTCTCTCAGCCAGGTCGGGGGGGAGTGATGCCCGGATATCCCAGCTCGCCGATGGGAGGGAATCCCACGCCGCCGATGACGCCCGGGACATCCATACCTCCGTACCTGTCCCCGGGCCAGGACACGAAACCCCCCTACCTTCCACAGGACACCAAACCCAACATCAACGCCCAGCAGGTCTCTACAGGTGAGGCGCCATCTTTTATAGTCGCTGCGTCTGTGTCTGTTTACTTCTACGTCATTTGATTATTAGATAATTACAGAAACCTAAACGCTTCTTGAACATCTTTCCTGGAGAACGCAGATTTCTTTGCATTGTACACTTTGTAATTAGTTTTCTGTAGATATGCACGACAGACAAAGTAACCGAGCGGCTGAACGGCATTTGTCTTCGTATTTAAAAGCCGCCTCTTGTTTTTCCCGTGGAAGGAAACCCGAGCGACGACCTGCGGCTGACGTTCCCGGTGCGAGACGGCGTGGTGCTGGAGCCCTTCAGACTGGAGCACAACCTGGCCGTCAGTAACCACGCCTTCCAGCTCCGGGACTCCGTCTACAAAACACTCATGTTGAGGTTGGACCCCTCTGCTGTTATCTATATCTATCTATCTATCTATCTATCTATATATCTATATATCTATATATATCTCTCTTCTCTATAAAGGATAGATATTTTATTCATAACCATAAATATATGTTAATAGTTCTGCTCTTGTACAGTCCAGACTCCGTCTGTAACACAACATGTGGCCTCAGAGTGAATTCAGAGCTCTGTTTCTCTTCCTGAGAGAAGAAGGAAAACAAACGAGGAATGTCTAATAACCTCGCCCAGTATCTCTCTCTCCCTCTCTGATAACCTCACCCAGTCTCTCTCTCTCTCT